TTTTTGACACCGGCCGCCGTCAGGCAGACAAAAAAAAAAAAACCGGCATAAGAATGAATAGCTAGACTGCCATTGGCTATTTCAATTTGCAATAGCCAATAGCAGACTTACTATTGCAACCGCCCAGGGGCGTCCCGAGGCTGGGTGACACCCGGAGCGGTAACCGAGTGTCACCCCGCCAAGACGTCACCGCGAATGTGCGTGACGTCACCACACGCGTGCGCTATGACGTCATCACGCGGCAGTATTCTGATACCTGCCGGCCGCCATCTTGGTGATGGACGCCGGCAGAGAGAGGAGGGGACAGTCACCCGGCGGTATAAGGTATGCCGCTGGGTCCCCTCCTCTCTCCTGATACTGTCGGGCGTTCGGTCCATGACCGAGCGCCTGACTTTTCAGAGGGGGGTGACAGACAGGGGAGGGGGAATCCCTGCAGGGAGCCGTGAGTGACAGTCACTGCTCTCTGCAGGGATAGATCGGGAAGTGAGCAAGCGCCGGTATGTGTTCGCTCACCTCCCGATCTACTGAGCCGACCTGTGACAGTTTCATTGTCACATGTCGGCTAGAACTATGAGGATGAGTGATTTCCACTCGCCTCATAGTTTTCCTTTAAAATCCCTTTCTCTTGTTTGGGTGTCCTTGCAGCGCACAGAGGAGGAGGGAGAGGTGGCATTATGCTCATTGACAAGGACAGAGAAAGGTCAGGTCCCTGAACTGCACGTCACAAAGGATGGGGCCCCCACACTGCGCGCTGCACCATCCTTCAAGGCTTCCTTTTAGGTAACTGGAGCTCTTACGTAACCCTTGCGCTCTTTTTCTCTTTTGTCTTCAGATTTGCTATTTCAGCCAACGAGTGACGGCAGAGCCGCGCTGATACTCTAGGTGACATCAAATGAGGGAAATGTCAAGGAAGCGACTCATCATCATCATCATCATATGTATGGTGCAAGCTGCCGCAGTTTTCTAGGGAAAGAATTGTTCAACTCCACTTTGGAAAATGCCATTTATCTGGCTATCATGCTGATTGAGCATCCATATGTTATAGAATGCTGATCAGACCTTACTAGCTTGGCACTTAGCTCCCATCTGTCACTGATTTGGAGAGACTGTCACTCTTTAGAACCCAAATCCCTCTTTCCTACTCAACTCATGGCAACCAATCAGCTTCTAGCTTCAGTTAAGATTTGAAAATGAAACAGAGATGCTGATTGGTTGCCATGCACAGCTCCTCCAGATGTTGTCTGCTCCAGTTTTGCTAAATTCCCCTCATTAAACCTTTCATCCACCCTAAATCTTTCTTTTGGTGATTGCTAATACCCACCAATTGTTTTATTTGTGACTGTAGAAAGGCCAATCATTGAAAAACAAATGATAAAATGCCGGAATTGCAGGAAATTAACCAATGTTTTGGAAAGTTGATCTAATTTTTTTGCCACAATTTTGTGGCAATGAAGAAACATGCCGGCAATGAGAAGGTTAAAACATAGAGCTTGGTAATGGTACCCACCAGGGCATACACAGGGGGATCAGGAGGTGGACATAGTGGTTAGCACTTCTGCCTTGCAGCACTGGGGGTCCTCAGTTCAAATCCCAGCCAGGTCACTATCTGCAAGGAGTTTGCATGTGCTCTCTGTGCTTGCGTGGGTTTCCTCCAGGTACATTGGTTTCTCCCCCACACTCCAAAGACATGCTGGAAGGTTAATTGGCTCCTGTCTAAGTTGGCCCTCTTTGTATGCATGTGAGAGAGGGACCTTAGATTGGAGGGCAGGGATTGATGTGAATGTGCAACTACGTAAAGTGCTGCATAAATTGTCGGCGCTACAGTATATAAATACCTGTAATAAATAAAGGGGTTAATGTACAGGCCACGAAAAAGTGGGAGGATGGAGATGAAGGGGTGAATGGGCAGGATAATGGAGGAGAAGGGTTAATATATCTCTGGTTGGCGTTATATTATTTTTATGATACATGTGTCCTAACTCGGTCATGAGGGACGGGGATGACTTCCTCCGGCCATGGCCTCTGCCTACTCTGTTTTTGTTTGGGGGGAGTCACATGACCTCTTTGGCTTAGCACGGTCTGGGTGGGCAGAACTAATCTGCAGCACACCACGTGTCCTTGTGACATTGCCGCTTCACTCTAATTAGCCAATAAAAGTTTTTCAGGGCCATGCAGATTGATAAATGAGGTGGTCATTAATATTTTTTAATATTACCTGCAGTTATTTATAAGTTGTATTCTTCCAAGCTGATCTCACGCTGCTGTTCTGGAAATCAAATTAGAATAAAAAAACAAAAGAAAGATAGACGGGTAGATTTGAAAAATTATTTGTAAGCCTTTAATGTCCTTTTTTTGGGGGGTTACAACGACTTTAGGAATACAAATCCTCCAAGCATCCGTGAAGCATACTTATACAAACTGCGTCGGCATTCAGCAAAAGTAGGTAGCTAGAAGCACTTTTCTTTAGAAATAAAATGATGGAACAGGAAGTATATATTGTCCTAAAATGATGTTTCTCTATATAGATACATTGTATCAGTTCACAATCGGCTGGCAGGAAGAAGCAATCCAATGGTATATACTGTATATCTTCCCAAATGCAGAACGTTACAGGGAACTAGGGATACACCGATACCGGTCATTTTCACGGGTACAAGTGGAAAATGGAACTATTTCCAAAATAAAATCTGATTAAAAAAATATAATAGCAGTGCGCTTCCTGGTATGTGAGTGTTCCTAGGCACTCCTGTGCCCTGAGCTTTATAGCTCAAGTCAGGGCTGTAGCTAGGGTGAGGCGACTAAGGCACTCACCTCGGGCACAGGTGCGGGGGAAGCAACCAGGGCTCAGTGAGGCAGGGAGAAGTGGGGCAGCACAGCCTGCAGCTTCTCCTCTGGATCCCCGCTGCTCTCCCCAGCCTGTATGGGCAGAGGCAGCGAGGATCCGAGGAGAAATGAAGCACTGAAGACAGGGGGGGGGGGGAGCTGTCACTTAAAGATGGCCGAGCGGTGAGGAGGTGAGAGACACTCGGCCAGGATCTGACAGCCGACAGCTTTCTCTCTGCTCACCGCCATCCTGAACTGACAGCTCCCTTCTCCACCCCCCGCCGGCATCAGCGCTATATTTCTCCTTGTTGGAGCTCTGCTGCCTCTGCCCATTCAGGCGGGGGAGAGAAGCGGGGATCCGAGAACAAGCTGCAGGCTGTGCCGCCCCTCTGTGCGTTGCCAAGTGGCTCAGGATAGAGAGCGGGAGGATCGGTAAATATCAGTGATATTAGCAATCCTCTGTGTGCAGAACAAACACTGGAGTGATCAGCTGATCACTCCAATGTTTGTAAATAAATGGGGACACATAGTACTATGTGTCCCCAGTTATGAATGAACAGGAAGTGCTTTACCTCACTTCCTGTTCGTTCATGAGTTTCTAAATGGGTAGTAGTACAGAGGCTTCTTCCCATTCAGAAACTGAATGATAGCAAATATTTTCTGAATGAATGGGAAGCCTCTGTACTGAGTGCTGACCATTCATTTAGAACAGAGGCTGCAGAAAAAGAGACTGAGGACTTTCTTTTTCTATTTTAAAAGGGAAATATCAGGCGGCTGTTTAGACCCCTAATATTTCCCCAAAGCATCCCGGAGGCAAGATGTCATATGGCTGTTGGGGGGGGAGACTTTTTTTTGTTCTTGCCTCGGGCGTAAAAAGAACTAGCTACGGCTCTGGCTCAAGTATATCTACAGTGTGAGATCTAAGGCACTGCTGCCTCTTATTGCTACTGTTACAAGATTTGGAGTGAGATTTGAAGATGTCGCCACTCTGCTGTATTCTG